AAAAAAAAAGAAAGAAGAAGAAGGTATCTTACCTGGTGACTGCTGGTCTCAGATACTTTAACATCCAAAGACCCTGCCAGGACAGCATACCAGTTTGTTCCAATATCACCTTGACGAAATACTGAAAAAGACACAGTAATGTACATAAACTAGGTATAAGCTGGTTTTACCGTATGACCTGGTAAGTTTCTCACTGGTATTATAAGCATGACTCGAACCTAACTGAGCTTACCACTCTTCTTTTACCTGTTCCCACAAGAAGATATTTTTCTTTTCCTCATCTATCAGCAAAGCTATATCCTGTTTATTCAACATTCTACAAACTGGAACTCTATTAAACAGAAAACTCTTTCAAATTTACAGAGCAGTAATAAAGGACGATAACCCAAAATACTATAGGAACCTTTGAATTTAAAAAAAAAAATTATGTTATATGTAATTTATCTTAAATACTCGTACACTTCATTGTCTTGTGATTCCTGGGATATTATTACTCTAGATGGGGTACATATTAACAAGTCTTGACTTAACTGAACCAGACCACTTCCCCAATTTCCTGCCTATTTACATTGAAAGCACTGTGTTTTCTAGAATAGAACATCTCCTTTTAAGCTAACCAGTGAAGGATTAAGAAAAATAAAATCTGCTTTACAAGTTTGAACTACTGTACCATCACTGTCCATTTTCTTGTTTGTTCAATAAATGCACTGCTTTTAGGTACTGGGAGATAACTGCTCTTTGGAAATGACTCTCAACAGAAGTTTCTGAACCTTGTTTTGCTTTACTTTTGTAATCTCAGCTAGAACACATTTAGATAGGACCTTAGTTTCCATATCGTGTTAAAAATCTGGTTCAAAAATCTCATGCAAACCCAACAATCCTTTTAAATATCCTAGCAAAATAACTAGATGGAATGATCTGACATTTGAACATTCTTTTCAGTTAAGAGTCAGAGTTCTAGGGATTCAATGAGAAATGACATGACAGCTCAGTGGGACAGCCGAATTCCGGCCAGGCGAGTACTCACTGCATCAGAGCCAGCCTCTGGGAGCCACAATTAATGACTACAAGCTGTTCTCAACTCCCTGACTAAGACGTGCTGTGGAAAGGCGAAGAATGACAATGGCATCCCGCCAAGTACAATGATAAATTTAAGATAGGGGACTGATGAGTTTGTAGCTGGCCTCTCCAGTAACTGCGGTTCCTGGCCTTTGTAAGTGACTTATTTTAGAATTAGAACTATGCCTTTCATGAACTTTCTGGCCCCAAAAGTCATTACCATTTGCCCAACAATTTCATATTACATATCATAGATTCATTCTGAATATGGCTTTAAGAAATAGAAAATGAAGTCTCATCCCCAAGAGAATGAAGTTTCCAATATCAATAATAAAAATATTAGTTTGAAAACAATATTGTATGGATAATTTTTTAAACAGATGGGTGACTGTGTGTGTGTGTACACATCAGAAAACATCTTGAAGGATACACACACAGTGTTAACAGTAATCTCTGTGTTTGGGGATTGCAGGTAATTTTTATTTTGTTTGCCTTCTAAATTTTCTATAATGTTGTGACAGAACCTATTGGTTTCCCATCCAGAACCATGTCCTCCCTCCCTCTTATCTAACTGAACATTATATATACAAGGATTATACACAAATTTCCATGCTCCTTCAAGGACCAAGTGCTCTGAGCATATGAGTTTCTTTCCTAGCATCACTGGGGTAATCATGATTGGTCTAACTCAATCACAGTGATCCCTGGTTTACACATGGGCATGTGACACAATTCTGGCCAATAAAACAATACAGGAAGTCTGCTGGGGACTTCTGAAAAACAGATACAAGAAGTAATAGTCCTTGGTAGAATGTGTTTGTAATGGTACATAATATCTCCAACTGCTATAGCTGTCTAAGAACCCTTTGGGACAAGCCTGAGGACAAAAGCCAGCACCTGAGAAAGCATAGCAAAAAACAAACAAAAACGAACAAACAGAAAAGATAGAGGGAACTGGGACCTAAATAATGTCACTGATCACTTAATTAACCAACCCTGAACCCATCCCACATCAAGACTTCTGGTATATGAATAATTGATTTTTCCTCTTGTATGAGTAATTCATTATTCAAGCCAGTTGGAACGAATTTTTCTGTTACATCAGCATAAAGCATCCCAACAGGTAGAAAGCATTATTTTATAATGAGAAAACACTTTTTTTAAATGCAGCTATGACTCTATCATTTTACTCTCCCTGCCCCTTATTCATACCTGGAATAGACAATACCACTGAGGTCAATTCAAAATATTACCATTAGCATTAGTTAAGAGACCTTTATCTTTATTTAATATCCTACTGGCTAACATATTTCTTGGGTTAGAGAAAATAATTATTTGACTTTCTAAGGATACAGCTGAATATATGAATTAGTACATCCTTCCAGCTCCACCTGAAAAGTAGGCTGCCCTGGAGGGATCACTTTATATACTGTGAGCAAAGGAGTTAAGGAAATGCCTACATCGAACTGAATAAACACAGTAGAGGGACATGTCAACCTAATACCTTCAGTTGAAGCCCAAATATTTGGCACATAAATACCCCATGTGCTATCTATCCCCACAGGATAACCACAAATAAGCACAAACCATACATGACAGTATACCAGTGGAGCTGCATTTCTTACATGTGATTCCTTTTTCCAGATTTTCATAGTAACCACATAAACAAATCTGATGAAGGAGATTTGGGTGAAATTTCTCAAAAGCTTTAACTTCTTTCAGTCGTGTGAAGATTATATCCACATCTTCACTGGATCGTTCCAAGGGTCTATAAAGGGGAGAAAAGGCCCAAAAAGCTGTATCAGTAAGGATTTACTAGAGTCAAATATGCATTATTCTAGCTACATTCAAGATTATGCAACCATCCCATTACAAGTTTTCACTGNAGGGAGCATCAGCCAAAGGACACCCAGAGTTAGAACAGTCCATGCTTAGTGGGCAAAAGCCCCCAGAGGCAGCACAGCGAGGTGCATAGGCCTTGTAGGCCTGGATTCAAAGCCCTTCTCTGCCAATTACTAAACCTGTGGCTTTGGGTAGAATGCTCTCAGGAGCCGCAGTATCCTCATTTGTGAAATGGTCACAATCTCTCTTATAAAATTATTGGCAGGATTTGATATAAATAAAATAATATATACAGAGTTCTGTAGGGTTCCTGGCACATAGTAGGCACTCAGTAATTAATGGAAAATATTATTTTTGACTCTGCCATATTTATATGCCTGTATAAGGTTACCTACATTTCTAAAAAGCGAATTATATTTTTTATGATTTAAATAACAGAGAATCTCCATATTCATTTTGCGTTAGTCTCCAATTAATGATGGCTTCTCAACACTAAATCCCAAGCTTCTCTGTCCCCCAGTCTGGATGTCAAGTGGTTTGAATGATCTGCAAAACACTTCAGCTCTCTGGGGGAGCTTGTATTCAAAGGAACCCTTCGGAAGAATCCTGCTGCAAATCAAAGAATCTTTTCTTTCTGCTACTAATCATCCCTTCATTTACCTGCTTTGTGTTCTGATATACTAGGCTTTCTTAAAGCAGGCATTCTCATATGAGGCATTTTATTGGTTTGTTTCATTATAATTATAGCTGCAGTACGAAAATGGGACCAGTGTTAAGAAAGCCAGTGGTTATGAGTCACTGATATCCAAGTTAATAAACATGTACCTTGCAAAGCATGTCTATCAGCATCCACTGAAATCCAACTTATACAAGGCACAGTCTGATGAAATTTAAAATAACTAACGATCAATAAACTTGACATAAGAATTCTCTCTGATAAGTGCATCAGCATTTAAAAAAAAATTGTCCTGTAACTTCAAGGGGTATCAGATCTTTTCATTATGCATTTTTAAAGATTCCACATATAAGTGAAACCACAGTACCTGTCTTTTTCTGTCTGACTTATTTCACTTAGCATAATGCCTTCAAAGTCCACCCATGGTGTTTCAAATGGTAGGAGTTCCTTGTTTTTTATGGCTGAGTAATATTCCATAGATGTATGTGTGTGTATATATAGCTCACATCTTCTTTATCCATTCATCCATTGATGGACACTTAGGTTGTTTCTATGTCTTAACTATTGTAAATAATGCTGCTATGAATACTGGGGTGCAAATATCATTTTGAGTTAGTTTTCATTACCTTTGGATATATTCCCAGAAGTGNAAATGTTTATCTACATATCCCCATCGTAGGAATTTCCAAGCTTCTGTTTACTATTCACCTGAAATCATGACTATTGCAGATGGTGTGATATGATTTATATTAAGAAATATATGTTTGGTCTTTGTCCACTGTTTCTGACACATAGTTCCCAAAACTTGTAAATTCCTATATAAGAGCCGTAAGGATATCTTTTGTTATAATATTTGGTCTTTTGTCCTAAGTCACTGAAATGCTTCAGAGTCACGAAGGTGAAATGATGTCTTGTTACAAGCCCCTTTCAACTACAACTGAGTTTATGTTAATGAGGTGATTTTTTGCAAAGCCCTAGTAATCTAAGGATGGTGGCTGGTTGCCAGAGAAACCACCAAGTGATTAGAGGGTTGGAAGCGCCCTATCCTTTCCTATACTTTACCCTGTGCCTCTCTTCCATCTGGCTTTTCCTGAATTATATCCTTTTATTAAAAACTGGCAATCTACTAACTGTTTTCCTGTTTTCCTGTATCTGTAACTGTTTTCAGATCAAGTAACTGTTTTCCTGAGTTCTGTGACCCACCCTAGCAAATTAGTCAAACCCAAGGAGGAAATAGTAGAAACCTCTTTGATTTTATAGCCCATTGGTCAGAAGTACAGGTGACAACCTGGATTTGTGATTGGCATCTGAAGAGTGGGGGTGGGGGTACTCTTGTGGGCTGAGCCTTTAACCTGTGGGATCTGATGCTGTCTTCAGGTGGATAGAATCAGAATTGAATTGAGTTGCATTGAATTGTAGGACAATTAGCTGGTGTCTCAAAATCGCTCATCTGGTGTCCGAAGTGTTAGGAGTATGGTAGTAGTGTGAGTAAAGGAAACACATGAGGAGTTTTTCCTTTGCAGATGCTATCGTAAGAATCAACTTCCGAGTCACGACTTCAAGGTGATACTTTTGGGTAGTGTTTAATCCCTTAAAAGCACCAGGATATGAGAAAATACAAGCACAGGCAGATCTTACTTAAAATTGAGGTCACAAACAAATGCCTGCAAGGGCCAATCAGGTAAAGTATATAAGTAAAGAGAATCAAACATAAGGGGGAAAAAAATCTCTGCTATAAGAAAACAATGGTGGGCTGGCTGTGTGGCGCGTTGGTTGAGAGTTGGCTTGGGAGTGCTGGCTCTGAGCAGCAGGGCCCCTGTTCGGATTCCACATTAGGGCCAGTGACGCTGCGCCCTCTGCAGCTAAGATGGTGAACAACAGCTTCACCTGGAGCTGGGCTGCCATGAGTCGCTGGCGACAGTGTAGGCTGCAGCCCCTGCTGCAGTGGGCTGCCGTAAGCTACCGTGAGCGGCTAGCAGCTGGTGTGAGCAGCCATCCAGTGGCCGGCGACTGATCTGCCTCACCCGGGAAGAGTGCAATGATAATACCAACATGGGCCAGTGAAGCAATGTCCTCCACAACTAGACTGAAGAGCAAAAGGACAGCAACTTGTTTGTTCCCCTTCCCCGATTCCCCAACGCTATTCCCCTCCCCCAATTCCCCAATAAAAAGAAAAAGAAAACAATGGTGAAAGCACAAAGACACACAGACCTGATACTCAGCCTCAGTGTTGAAATACTATAGGGAATGGTGGGAACCACAGCAAATCGCAGAGATGGGAGTGTCTACAGGAAGTAGCCCTCATTCGGTTGTTCTTATTACTGGTTTTCTGTGGAAATGGGCCCAGCTGTCAGATCTTAGAATTGCTCAAGGAAACATAGCTATCTAGATCACATTTCTTAAACATTGTGTGGGCCACATAAAAAATATCTATGGACTGGAGCCAACTCACTAACCACCATTTGTATTCTCTGGATTAAGACGAACCAAAGAATCAAACAAAAATTGGATAGTTTACAGATTATATCAAAATTGTTCTTTCTTTGAGCAGCTTTCCAAGTCTATGCCTTCAATTTGCTTTGCAGGATCATATGATGTTCCTTGCTAGATATTTCACATTAAGTAGAAATTACTCAGTGTGTGCCCTAGAGCATTCTGGGATCTGAAGAAATGAGCTGTGCAAAGATGTGACTGAGATAAGTAATTCTCATGGAGAACCTGTGCTCCCCTGAATTTCCCAGCCTCCCTTGCAGTTATGTTGAAGCCACACTCTGGTCAGTGGTCTGTGGACAAAACTAGCATGTACCACTTCTGAGGTGAGACTGTTAAAGAGCCAGGGTGTGTCTCTCCATCTCTCCCTTCCTCCACAAATTTAGAGGGTATTATGGGTTGAAGTGTGTCCTTCCCAAAATATATGTTGAAGTATTAACATCTGGTACCTGTGTGACCTTATTTGGAAATAGTCTTTGCTGATGTAATCAAGTTAAGATGAGGTCATAGTGATTCATCCAACGACTGGTGTCCTTATAAGAAGAGGGAAATTTGGATCCAGAGACACTGGGAAGATGGCCATGTGAAGGTGGAGGCAGAGATTGGAGTGATGTATCTACAAGCCCAGGAACACCAAGGATTGTTGGCAACCACTGTAAGCTAGAAAGAGGTGAAGAAGGATCTTGCCCTAGAGGCTTCAGGAGAGCATGGCCCTGCTAACTTCAGACTGCTAGCCTCTAGAACCACGAGAGAATAAATTTCTGTTGTTTTAAACCACCTAGTTTGTGGTATCTTGTTTGGGCAACCCTAGGAAACTAATACAGAAGTCATGTGTTTCAGATGCTATAGCCACAAGATGGAGACTTTGTGTAAGTGACAAATAAGCCTCCATTGTGTGAAGCTACTGAGATTTGGGGGGAGCGGGGGACCACAGCATTACCTAGACTAATACCAAGGTCAGAACTAGATGTGCCAGAGTTCTAAGGAACTTGGGACATTGTCAGAGGAAGACAGGTCCCACCACGAGAGATGAAGATTTTGGGAGGACATGAACAGATGACCTGTCACTTAGGAGAAGACATAAAACACATATGTTCATGACCTTTGTTGGGAGGCTCTTCACCTGCCCCCATCACACTTTCAGCAAACTAGACCAGGAGAATATGTCTACAACCCCGGCTAGCCTCTGGACTCATCTCTACTGAAAGAGCTTGGCCTCTACTTCCTAGAGAGGGGTAGGGAGATCCTGCTGCATTGGTGCCCAGTTACTAGATGACCCAGTGCCTAAAAGACCTAGAGGTGTGCAGGCTTTACCAAGGAAGGTACAGCTCATCAGTATCCGTGACCTTTCTACCTTTTGGCCCTTTGGAAGGGCTTTATAAACTCCCTTCCAGATGTTATGGGGCTTGGACAGAGGGGCTAAAACTGGAGCAGTTAATAAATGGGTATAGACAGCTTTCAGTGAGTCTTTGTGTACCCAGTGGGAAAGCACTTTGTAGGCAGTGAGGGTGACAGGCTGGCACAGGTGCCTCTCGGTGAGGAGCCAAGCCAGCGGGGCACACTCTGTGGGGGGCAGTGTTGGCACCAGCAGGGGATCACACCAGCCGCAGCATGCAGCCACGTGAACTCAGTGAGTCACTGCCAGATCAACACTGGCACTAGCCTGCAGACCCAAAGCAGTGGCAACATTTAGGTGACCACAGGAGGAATCACAGGACCACAAAAGCAGGAAATTGACTGGACATTGAGATGGTGGATAC